TAAAAAAGGCCTCGCCGTTTTGTAAGTTTAGAACAACAAATAGAAAAATTTCTCTCATTCACGTTTTATTTTCTTTTTTCATGCTTATTTTATTTCCGTTTTTAGCATTAATATGTGAAATGTGGGAGGATGTTGGCCTTGGTTGGTGGTTGGTCTCTAGTTTAAAATGGTTCGAACAGTGAGATTAAGGTTTTGTTTGTCGGTTTAGGGTGTCAGTTTAGAGTGTTGATGTGCGTTCGGGGGGCAGTTTTGGGCTTCTTTTCTTTTCGGGTGTGCTTAGGTCTAAGGTTCGACCACCAATAGTGGTGGTCAAGGGTTGGTTCTCACCGATTCACGGTATTGGTGTTTGTTTGGGGTGGCTATCGGTTAAGGTTCTGTTGAAGATAGGAGAAGGTTAAGAACTTAGGGTTGGTTTAGATCCTTACATGGCGGTCTGAGAGGCAAGTTATATCGAAATACGGTGGTTAAACGGCGGTGAAGCAGTGGCCGACGTTGGTGTTGATCTCCGAGAGTGGACTAGCATAGAGAGGAAGCTGGTGAGATGTTTCACGTGTTTTCTAGTTTAGGTAGGGGAGATGTTTTTAAAATTTTTGGGTTAATCATGCGTTAAGTCCCTAATCTTAGCTCGTTATCACTCTTGGTCATTTTAGGGGCTAATCACCCATAAGTCCCTCCACTTCTGCCTTGCTTTTACATTGTGGTCACTGATCTACTTTGATTTTACCTATTTTGATTTTAGCCCCTTGTTTTGCTTTATTTTAATTTGGTCACTATTCTACTATGTTATTTTATTGCATATTAACTGCTAACTTTTATTTTATCGTACATTAACCACTAATTTTTATTTTCTTTCATTCTAACCACTGTTTATTTATTTATTGTTTCTCGTATTAGATTCGACCTTGTGGTGACCCGATCCGGCGTATAATCCACATTATTATGGTTCGGACTCTGCTAACCACTAATCGCTAACTTTCCTAACAACTAACTTTTTTAACTGCTAACCTTTAACCGCTAACTTTCCTAACAACTAACATTTTTAACTGCTAACCTTTAACCGCTAACACTAACCGCTAATTTTTATTTACTTCTTTACTTATTTATTTATTTTATGTTCAAATATTCAACGACCTTGCGGTGACCTGCCCTAAGGATGACCCGCGTTATTTATGGTCCAGTTTAAACGGTTAAAAACAACCCCTAACTTTAAATTTTATGCAATTTATTTCTTTTTTTATTTTATTTATTTTTCAGCACTTTAAATTTCAGTATTTTATTTTTCTACCCTTTAATTTTCCTGCATTTTATTTCAGTCCCTTTTAACTTCCACTATTTATGGGTTTCTGTCACTACTTATCCTTTACACATTATCGGGAAATAACCTAAAGAGCCACCGTTAGTACCACCAATCACATTAACCCGGCGGTGACTTTCGGGTTGTTTCTGACCCGGAAGGTGTCTTTAATAAGAGCTGTTGAATACATCGTATCTCAATGATTGGGAGCAATCTGTGGTATTGGACTTGTTAAAGCTTTCATGAAACACGAGTACAACTCACTCGGCAGTGGAGCTAACTCCGTGGCTTCGAGTTACAACAAGGGAACCGCTTTGGGAGCCGAGATCATTGGCACTTTCGTGCTTGTTTACACTGTGTTCTCAGCCACTGATCCTATGAGAAACGCCTGTGACTCCCATGTACCGGTGTTGGCTCCGCTTTCTATTCGGTTTGTAGTTTTCATGGTTCACTTGGCTATCATCCCCATCAGCGGCATCGGCATAAACTCCGCCAGGAGCTTCAGTGCTGTTATTTACAACAACGATAAAGCCTGGGATGATCCTATAAGTTTTTATAATATTATTTATGAACACGTTTTTTTACCAAGTTTATGATATGAATTTAATTTTGTGGTGAATGGATAATGGATTTTTGGGTGGGTCCATTTGTTGGAGCTGTGGTAGCTGCTGTTTACCATCAGTACATTCTTCAAGCTGTTGGGATCCTTCCGAAGCAACCAGACCAACTAAAGAGAAAAGGGAAAACCATCATGGCTTTTGTTTTCATTGTTTTCTTCTTTCTTTTTCACCGGTTGTTTTTTTTTTTGGTGTTAGCAGAGGATGTTTTTGATGATCCCTTTCCTTCTCATTTAAAATATGTTGTTGTTAGCAATAGAAAAGGTTGTTTTTTTTTTGGGTGTTAGCAGAGGATGTTTTTGATGATCCCTTTCCTTCCTTCTCATTTAAAATATGTTGTTGTTAGCAATAGAAAAGATCAAAGATGCTCCACTCTCAATGTAATACCCCAAATTTTTTCTAGTGACTAAAATGTAAGTTTTGAAAGATTGGTGGCTAAAGTGTAAACTTTAAAAAGTTTAGGGACTGCAACTGCAATTTTTAAAAGTTATATATATTTTATCCCGTAAATGAACAGTTTAGTCTAAAACAAGGATTTTCTTGGGAATTGGAGATTGATTTGGATCAATTTAGAACCTTGAAAGTGTAAAAGGGCTAGTTTACAAGTTTTAAGAATTGTGGGACATTGTTGTTTAAATATGAGTTTTAGGGTGTTCAATGTTAATTTTTAATATTGAGATGCTGGAAAATTAAGATTGGAAAGTTGTTTGGAACCAAATTTCAAAACTTGGTAAATTTTGGGTGGAATTCAAAAAGTCTAAGAAAATAGGGGACTTATTCGCAAGTTATTAAATATAAGAGTATCATTTGGGTAAATTATGGTAATGCTGGAAATTTGTATTGGTATGCTGATTTTCGGAATTAAATATTAAAATAGGGTTGAATTGCAAGTTTATTAAATTGGATGGTTAAAGTTGAAAAGTCTAAGACAGTTTAGGATGAATTTGCAAGCTTTTGAATGTTTAAGTGTTGATTTGAATGTTTTATGAAAGTACTGAAATTTCATGTGAATAATGTAATATGATCATAATAGTAAAGAAATATTATGAATTTAATGGAAAAATAGAGGTGAACTCTACAAAGAATTCAAAATTTGTGGTTTAAATGTGTAATCAGCAAAAGTCGAGGGATTAAAAGTTGGAATAAATATTTATGGAAGTTAGAGAATTTTTTAGAAGTTTGAAATTTTGGTGAAAGCGTGACCTAAGTTTGTAACGATTTAGTATCGATTTTTTTTTTTTTATAGATTTTTTATTTTAAATTTAAATTATGTTAGTTGATATTAACATATAATTGAATATTTTATATTATTATGTTATGTTGTCAAACTACGATAAACCTAGCGATCCGAACGACCTTAAAAGAAAGGAAAAAAGTACACGAATAAAGAATTAGCATATAAAGGTTCGTATTGAGACAAAGATGAGTGCAATTTATTGATTTAATTATTTTAATCGAGGACGACTTGTGATAAGTTAACCACACATTATTTATTTTAAATATATAAATTATGTTTTGATTATGGAATTATATCCGTAATATTTTAATAATTTTTATGAATGATTTTGGGTATAAAATGATCATGTCATGTTTTAGGAATATGATTTGAATATAATTCTGATTCTGATATAATTTTTTATCAAATGATTATGAATTGAACTAAAAGCTCATTTATGTTGCATTAAGAGTCAAATGTACAATTGGCATATCATGAGGTGGAGTGATTATGTATCGATTCTGATATACTAGGGTGTATCGGTGGATACACTAGTATATATATATTCCGATATGATTTCACTTTGTGTATATATTGTGATTTCCGATGTGATAGCACTGTGTGTGCTTATATGCTCTGATTTCTGATGATAGCATTGAGATGCTTACTGCGCACACTCGTCTAACTCTCATATCTTATATTTTCTTAAATATACTTTGGGCTATAGAAATGAAATATAAAAGTTCTGAAAAATGACTGACTGAAAATGAATGTTGACTGATTATTCTATCTTATATGACTTATTATGATTTTGTAAAAATCATAAGATAATTCTTTTTCAGGTTTCTGATAAATAAACAACATGAGATAGCTGGTTTGAATGTTCTAAAAATTTTGTCTGTATTATTTTAAATGTGTTTATATATTTCAATACTTTATTTATTTATTTATTTATTCTCACCTTTAGTATTGTTGATTCACTAAGTTACACTTAGCGCTTGATGATTTTTATGCCTAAGTTCTGATAGAGATACAGACGTACTGTGAAGAGCTTTCAGAATATCTTTTGAAGATCATCTATAATATCAGTATTAGTAAGACATCATCGATATTTTTTTTGACTAGTAGTGATATGTATTATTATGTTATCAGTCTACTTTATCAGTTTTGATTAAATAGCTTATAATAGTAAATTAAGACTATTGATTTTGATTAGTTTAATTTATCAATATTTGGTATGCATATAATATACAATATTATGTTTTAAATGGTAAAGTAAATATAAATAGTTTTAAAGCTGAAAATAAGAATGTTTTAAAATAAATAAAATTTTAAGTAATTATAAATAGTAAATATTAATTAATTTGATGTGATATGTATAATTCGTATTTTTATATATATTCAAGCTATAAGTGTTACACTCAATATGAAAAGGCGGGCTTCAAAAGCGAAAACCGAGTCTGTCCTTCATTTGTACTCTTTGTTAACCAACCTTTTTTAAAAGGCTCTCTTATCAAGTAGGTGAAGAAGAACACGTGTATATATTTTTTAATTTTAATTATCACGTAATACGTTCATTAAAGTACTAATAAAACTTAACGATTGAATGATTAAAATCAAATGGATCTCGTAAGATACAAAGATAAATTTTAAACCAGAAATCAAAGTCTTTTAGACCGAAAATAAATGAGAGCATACCCAATAAATTAATGAAATTTGAGGGAGGTGTGTGTGTAAATAGGAGAGATTCTAAAACAATCTGATGAGACTGATTTTTAGCATTTGCTTTGATGTTTCTAAGAATAACCAACTTCCAAATATAAACCACCTTGTCGATCTAAAATTTCATTGGCTAATAATCAATCTTTTTTTCAAAAAGCAATTGGGAAGATGGGATCGTAAACCTCCACCCTCAGAACATGAAAACATGGAAGACATTTAGTTGATTCATTTTGGGAGGGAAAAAGGGGGAATTCTCATGTTCGTTCATTATCCAATAACTTTTCAAGTTCAATGTTCAAGAAGAATTTTCTTTGAAAAATACCCAACAAAAAGGAAACAAAAAAATCACAGTTTTTCTTCATCCTCTTAGTACTTGAAAAGCCTTCGATAATAAATATTATGGCTGTGGAAGGTAATTTCATTCTCTATTGCTTCCTGTTGTGTTGTTTTTACAATTAGACCCAAAGATTCATATTTTGTTTGTTTTGTGAATGCAGAGATGGTAAAGGCTGAAAAGGAGTCGCCGAGGGGGGTATTGGAGAATCCTGGGTTGGGATCAGATTCAGATTGCAAAAGTTGTAGCAGCAGCAGTTCAAGCTTAATATGTCCGGAGAAGACAACTCCTTCCGAGAAGAACATCAACCTTGATTTTAGTGGTTTGCCATTCAAGCAAATAATCGGAACCATCAAGAAGAAAACTCCCATAAGTTTCTCAATCTTTCCTTTAGTCGCCAGTTATGATATTTCCAGGAAGAACTTGATGAAGAAAATTGCAAAACTTTATGGCACAGAGGTAGACGATGACTGCCTCTCCCAGGTTAAACCTTCCTGTAAGAATTTTGCTTACTCTGAGCTTGCTGCCGCTACCGATAATTTTAATCCCAGTAAGCAAATCAATCACATATTTTATCCCCATTCCTATTTCATGAAAAAAAATCTTGTAATCTGCATTGAAAAAACACATTATAGATAATTTGCTTGGCGAAGGGGGAAGTGCAGAAGTATACAAAGGGATGTTACCTGATGGTCAAGTTGTAGCGGTGAAGAAGTTCATCAAGAATGAACAGGAAAATGAAGAGAGAGCCAATGACTTGTTATCGGAACTTGGGATTATAACTCACATTAATCACCCTAATGCAGCTCACTTGATCGGTTACAGCATCGACCAAGGCTTGATTTTAGTCCTTCAATTTTCCCCTCATGGCAGCCTTGCTTCTGTGCTTTTCGGTACCGTGTTATCATCATTTGCGATCGGCCATTGCTGTTGCTGTTGGACTAATGAGGAAATGTTTATTGCACTGCAGGTTCAGATGAGGCACTTGATTGGAATAGAAGGTTTAAGGTGGCTCTCGGCGTAGCGGAAGGGTTGAAATATCTCCACCATGAATGTCCGAGACGAATCATACATCGAGACATCAAAGCATCCAACATATTGCTCACCGAAGATTTTGAAGCTCAGGTACTTGCAAAATTCAAATGCATTTGTATGAATGGATTCCTAAGGAGTATGATCTTCTGCTTTCGGATTTCATCGGTTCAATGCAGATTTCAGATTTTGGTCTGGCAAAATGGCTCCCGGATAATTGGCAGCACCATGTCGTCCATCACATTGAGGGAACTTTCGGGTAATGTCATCCATGCCTTTGGACTTGTTTAAGTTGATTTTATTGTTAGCATGTCATACTCATAACGTTGCATCCAGGTACTTAGCACCAGAGTATTTTATGAACGGCATTGTTAATGAAAAGACTGATGTCTTCGCATTCGGAGTTTTATTATTGGAGATATTAACAGGTCGTCGGGCTGTCGATACATTGTCGAGACAAAGTCTCGTCATTTGGGTACATCTACTGCACTGAAAATCATTAAAATTAGCAAAATATGATCTATTGAACTTATTCTTTTGTTTACAGGCAAAACCGCTGCTAGAATCAGATGATGTTAAACAGTTGGTGGATCCCCGATTCGAAGGCAATTATGATCCAACTGAAATGAAACGTTGCATGTTAATTGCTTCACTGTGCATAAGCCACTTAGCCTCCATGCGACCAACTATGAAAAAGGTAACGAAACGACCTCAGAAACATGTTTGATTTTTCGCTCGAAATTCACACCAAAACCTTGATTTTTCAGGTTGTAGAGATGCTAAAGGGCGAAGAACAAGGCGATGCAGAGTATCCGATGCAGTCTAATGGAGAAAAAGCAATAATCGTGGACAGCTGTGACTCTCAAGCTTATAATCGAACCAGCTATCAAAATGACTTGAGTCGTCATGCAGCTGGTTATGTTGTAAAGGATGCTTGATGTTGATGTTGCTGCTGCTGCTATTTTTGTTAGTTGTTTGTGCGGGGAATTCAAGCATGGCCTTGCGCACTTGCAGGGTGGATAAAATCCCCACTGAAATGAATTCAGAGGTGTTTGTTGTTGTTGAGGATATTTTCAGCTTCCAAACCTGGCTTTATTTCTTCAACAGCCATTCAGAAGCTGCAATGATCAGACCAAAGTATCAGAAACCGGATGCGACGTGGTCATAACCATGTACTTCAATTCTTTTGTTTTTGTTTATTTTTAATCAAAGAGTAGTTGTTTTTCAAACAAGTCAAATGTTAATTAATGTAACACATAGCATGTAAGATTGTTGCAGCACCAAAAAAAAAATCTCACCTCCAGCATATTATATCCAAACAATTCAGGATTAACTTCAAACCTTCCTATATGTACATGTTAAGATCAAACAACTGTTATCTATTTATTTTATTTTAATATTTCCCCTGCTATTTTGTTGCAATTTAACCATTTTTATTAAGCATTTTGATTTAAGCGAGTGGTTGATCCAAAAAAAAAATTAACTGACCCTATTCTCATATGTAATGAGATAAGGAGGAGGTAGAGTAGTAGGTTGCCCCCAACGCGAGGTTGAGAGCAACTTCCATGGAAGACCTCCGTTATGAATTGCCCTCAGTGAGACTCGATTCGACGACAAAAAAATTTACTCAAATCATTAAAATATTATTACAAACAAACCTCTAACCGTTAAATATCGTTACAAACAGATTACTCAATTAAATTTGAATTCCATAATTTTTTTAAATTCTTTCACGGTACAGAATCTTTGATTAGTTTATTTCTTTTAACAAAAGGGTATCACATAAGTGAAAAAAATAAATTATACAAAGGACAAAATGAAACTAACGTAATATTAAGCCTTGATTAACTAGGCTGTGTTTAAACCAGATTAATTAATCATCCTTTTTAGCTTACCTTCTCTAAGTTAAAATAATCAAGTCAATGTTAGAGATGTGAAATAACTGAGAAGGGCAAATGACATTGGCAGCTGATTCTAACATCAGGAAATGCAACTTAAGCTTTTTATATTTCAAGTATTTGACCTTTAATGTCAATTTTAATCGTGTGGTCTTTGAATGGTCATTCGTTCAATTTGATGAAGCATTGAAAAACAATTCGCAAAGATAAATAACTTTACAAAACCCAGTTTTTGAAAGAAAAGCCTCCACCCTAGGTAAGATCAGATTGAGATGGTTAGATTATGGGCTCAGCTGAGAACATGCCGCCTGTTGTTTTACTAATGTCAGCTGAATTGCATACTATTCATTGTTAGGTCATTTCAGTAAGGCTGCTGAGGCCATAAGAAAAACTGATCAGCTTCCGGTTGCGACATTAACGTCATTGGGGTGGCCGTTGTTGAGGAGGAACCAGGAGGAACCGAGATGCCGATGTTGGCAGCAGACTGAAGGTGGTGGTAGAGATTCTGCTGATAAAGTGCCGCTGCGTCGAAAGAGATTCCGCAAGGAATGGTAGATATAGACTGCTGCATGGGGTCAAAACATATGTTGTTGGAGCTGCACTGGGGTTGTTGATCATGGTTTAGTACTGTTTTTTGCTCCGATTCAAGACAGAGCTTTAGCCGCTTAGCTGCCCCAGTGATTGGTAAAGAACTTTTGGCAATGGCTTCGACATCATATCGATTCATCTCAAAGTTGGTCACTGCATTCACACCCCTAAACTTGATGGCCGCAATGTCATAGGCGTCTGCGGCCTCCCCTTCTGTAGCTATCACCATATATAAAGATGATTATTATTGGCTCCCAACAATGAACTTGTCTAAATATAATTTCTACAATACAATAACATATTGATTCATCACTCATTTATGCAGCCTTACCAAAAGTCCCCAGATAAAGGTCCTTGTTTCCAGCAGCACGACCTATCCTTGCTTGCCATCGACCCGGTTGGTGATGCCTGCAAAATTAAGACGATAAACTAATGTAAGTAATCGTCAATCGCAACCAAATTCAAATTCCATACAAAAATGTCCTAACCTTGTGACACCTCTGTAAATTGATGCTCCCCTTGAAAATCCATTGCTCTTCCTACAGTCAAGGCAAATGATAGGTTAAATTACTGCAATTAACAGAGATAAATGAATGGCAACCATGCGGTTTACCTCCTTAAAGATGCAATAAACTCTTGCTTGGTCATATTCTTCATCTCCTGCAACTCTTTCGAATAATTTGAAATCTAAACCAAGCAAAACAATTATGAGTAAATGAATTCATGCAGAATCGAAGACGGCCAACAAATTGACTAGTTTAAGTTACAAATGTTCATATAAATAATACCGGGAAGTTGGTGGTGGCGGTAAGACCCCAGTATTTTAGAGCTGCTAAATCGTAAGCCCGAGCTGCCTTGACTTCTTTATCGTAGCCACCTGGTAAGAGTTACAAGATTTCAGCGTACAAATCTAAACTTAGAATAACAAAATAATAACAAAACAAGAAACTGTAGGAGTTTCCTGACCTAAGTAAACTGTAGAAAACAATTGTCAATGTCGGCCAAGCACATTTTCATGCAAAAAAAGTAAAGCAGAAACTGTTAATCTCTGGGCATAAAATTGGTCAAAATTGTCTGCTTCCAATCATACATATATACAAGGCAAGGGCAAATCCAAAATGTAGAAGGATTCATCCATGTGGTTTTAGTTGGCAAATTAATTGGTTAAAACAAAAACAGTAAAATAACATTAGCTATAAAACGTGATCTAAATATAATTATAGGATAACATATTAAAAGTGCAACTGTGGCTAGATTGTGAGCTTGAGTGTGAACTAAAACATAGCCCGCATGACCAGCATTAGCCTATAAACACTGTCAACAAGTTTAGGCTATAATAGTAGGGGGGCTTTAGACTTCAGTTTTACACGTACTTTTTTATATTTAAATCCTTTGTGTATATACTTTGGTCAAACACAGATCACCTATATCTCAGAAGAATTCGGTGGGCTGTCTGTCTGTCTGTCTAAGTTAATAACAAAACCAAAAGCCAAAAGCAAAGAGCCAAAGGCAACTTGGTGAAAATAAGACAGTATTTTGTTTAAGAGTGAACAGGTGCTGGGTCTGAGTCGGGTCAAACAAGGTGCCAGGTGAGTACAGAAAGAAAGAAAGAAGACAAATGAGTAAAATGGCGGCATATCCGATCAAATCAATCAAAGGTTTAAAGAAAAAAGATTTGAAAAAATTGGGTTTGCCAGTACAATTTGTACACTATATATAAACATCAGTCTTTCAATCTTCAAAAAAGACTGACACCAAATGCAAAGCAAGCAAGCAGGCTTCTTTCAGTGTCGTACTGTATATCTATCCATGTATATCTCTTTTCCCGCTCCAAAGGCATATAATTTATTTTGATAAAATAATCTCAGTGATCAAAAATATCTTATAATATATTTTAATCAATTTTTTTGGATTTGTCAAAATGACCAACTAAATTGTAATACGATCGATAATTCACAACGCGATCTCCGGTATCGCAAATCAGTTTCCAGATTCGCAACGCGATTCTGACTATCGCATTACGATTTTCTAAATTCGCGTTGCGATTTTCCTAATTCGCAATGCGAATACGTAAATCACAACGCGAATTTGGAAAATCGCAATGCGATTACGTATTCGCATTGCGAACGTAAATCGCAATGCGAATACGTAAATCGCAATGCGAATACGTAAATCGCAACGCGAATCTGACTATCGCAACGAGATTCTGACTATCGCAACGAGATTCTGACTATCGCAATACTGACTTTCAAATTCGCAACTCGATTTCTGAATTCGCAACAGGTTTTAGTTTCGCAACACAAATGTTTTGGGTATATAACTACGCAGCAGCAGCAACTCATAACCTAAATCCCTAAATCGCAACTCATTACATCTCCATCTATCACTCTCTCCGGCGACATCCGTTCCTATATCCAACGGCATCCTTCCCCATCCGACAACAGGTTTTAGTTTCGCAACTCGTTTGTTTAGTAAATTAATTTACAATAATGAAATCATCTAATGTTGATCATATTTGGATAGATTTGTGTTTTGGAGGGTCATGGGAGAATGTTCATGGTGTTTTACAATATATGCCTTTACCCATGAATCTTCAACTAAAACTGTCATTAAAAAAGTTAACTTATGAAACTCTAATATTACGTGTTGCAAATAAATTGAATTTAGAGCCCCTAAGTGAATTTAGGCTATCTTATCAGAGAAATGGTAAAGTTTATTTGTTAACCGACAATGAAGATGTTGAACGATTCATTGCTTACATTAGTGTTTCAAGTGATGATGTTACATTGTATGTTGTTAAACCTAGAAGTAGTGAAGTTGGGTCAGTAGCGGGTAGTAATTAACTAAGTTTTTCAACCCCAGTTTATGGTGCTCAAAATTTAATGGTTCCACCACAATTTCATCATCAAGCAAATATTGTTTCACCATATTTCCAATACCAAATACAATCTCAAAACCCACAACTTTTCCCTAATCCAAATCCCAATCAACTTTCAGCACCAAATTCTGGTTTTCGTATTGACCAGTTAGACGATGATAAACCAACAGAAAAAATTATGAGTACTAGTCGGTATTCAAAATTTGATCTTGGTCAATACCCGGACTTTGATCTTGGTTAATACTCGGATTTTGATGATTTTTCAGAAGAAGAAACAGACCATGCGTGTAATGATTTTGATATTGGTCAATACCCGAATTTTGATGATGAAATAGCCGTTGCAGAGGAAGATGTTGTTGATGATAATGAGGAGGAAGTTACGACTGTAAATGAACATGTTGAACATCCATTCTGTAATTTATATAACACTGAAGAAGAAAAAGAAGAAGAAAAAGAAATCCCCAAAGAAAAGTCCCCGAAGAAAATGCCACGAGAGTATAACTGGAATATGCCAGAATTACTTCAGATACCGGAAGAAGAGTTGGTAAAGATAGCAGTTGATTGTTACACAAAAATTATTCGTATCAAGAAAGATGATTGCTTTGATACAAAGGAAGACTTGAAGATAGCTTTGT